CTTTTGGGTGTCAAACCCTGATAAAGGTACAAGTATATAATAAATAGGTTATCGTACTCGGGATTCGGTGATATCAGTTTTATCGCTCTCGGGACAATATCACAATTGTCCCTCGCTCGCCGCGCTCGCTCGCGACAATTGTGATATCATCCCTCGAGCGATAAAACTGATATCACCTCATCCCTTATATGATAACCTATATTTATCATGTGAGCAAATTGAAGCAATATCTGGTTGAATCATTAATGATTTTAAGATATGAGCCTCCCTTGTTGTCACCCAAAATTCAGTCGGTTTTTACGTTTGAAATTATTGTTTACTCAAGTTATACAGTAGATTGCGGTCATTGCACATTTTCTCACACACGTAGAGTTCACACAAGTAGGAAACAGACAATGTTTATAGTTCACATTTGACACTTCTGCATGTATGTAAATGATACTGTAAAGGGCCAGATACACCGAATGCAATTTGGCATCGCCGCGCGATTTATCAATATTCCAAAGTTAATAAAACCTTAATAAAACGTTAGTAAAAAATACTGATGAATCTATCATGCTGTGCAGGGTTGTTATAGTTAAGTATAATCGATTTAAGTATAATCGATTGCGGAACAACACCTGATAAAATCTAAATCGATTTGGGAGCAGTTCTACATAAAATACAACAGATATAATTAAAGCCCCTGTGTTGATTCGTTCTCATGCAGCATGGTAGTGAACATGTTGCTTCGCAATACTGCGGAAATCTGAGTTTTGCAGTAGCAACATAGAATTTATTATGAAAATATATCACGTTTACATACTTTGCTTTATCTAAACACCATTTCACAAGATGCAATTGATATTCCAGTTTCGCACATGCTTGGTCGAGAAGGACGTGTTTAGAAGATCTCTATAGAAAAAAAAACAGTATATATAGATTTCACTTTTGAACTCACTGATGAGAAAAATTGTGTCGACCGTCAACAAAGCTTCCCTGAAATGTCTTTATAATATATTTCAGAAACAAAAAAATATTTTCCTAGTTTGTATGTAGTTAGGGTTAGGGTTTGTTATCTAACGTTAAGAATTCAAGCGCTTTCATTGGTCGAAACCCATGATCTATTAGAGGACAGACGCATGGAATTACGTACAATTAAGGTCGCCAATAGCATTTCCTTATTTGTATAGATCATGTATGTATGATATTTGTAAATATTTATACAACATTTCGCGAGCAAACTTTGCAATTTTACTCATTTTTGTATGCTCTTTCTAGCTGTGGTGATATATTCGCATCTCCTTGCCTAGTTTTAAAATTAGTCTATAATGGGAATTGTCTATTGACGACGTTTCCGAGGTTAGTGTACATTAAGGCAGGAAACCAGAGGACCTGGAGAAAACACTAAACTGACACAGATCGCTGCCAATCTAGCTAAAGACCATATATAACGGAAAGCGGCAGTGTATGGGATATACAACTACCTGAAAAATATAAGCAAAACTAATTCGACGTTTCATTAAAACATTGCCATTATGATATTTTAGAAACAATGTAAGCTACGATACTCACCTCACGGTGCCATAAACTATCCAGCAGTGTCTGAGCACTGTCACAAGTGTGACAATATGGCCACGCCAAGAGCAATACTAACACTTTTAGTGGAGAAAATTCCTCACAAGACAATATTTCTATAACCTTGTCCAGGTCACCATGTTGAGCAAATTCTACACATGTTGTCTAAAGAACAGAAATAAAAATCTGAGTAAAGCTATATTTAAGCTGCGGTGTGAAAGACACACAAATACCTGAAGTAATATTTCAAATCCGAGTGTGAGGACCGGACTAGATTTCTTATCCCATACCTGTGTTAAAAGCGGCTTTCTGATTGGTTTAGAGCAGGTGAGCTTGTCGTCGAGCTCACCTGCTTTTTGCCGAACTCACCTGCTTTTCGCCCGAACTCACCCGCTAAACTGCTTACGTTGCAATAACAATAACCAATATGGCGGACAAGATTTAGCCGATAAACCTAAACTTTAAAGAACTTTTTTCGGTGACTAACATACTGAGACTGAAGAAAAACCAAAGAAAAAATGCAGTAAAGGTAATGTAGACGTAGATAAAGAAGTATTTTCTTGCCCAGTTATTTTTTTGGCCGGGAAAATGTTCACAAAACATCGACGAATATATCGCGAAGAGCTACAAATGTGTGTATGGCTCGGTGTATGGGATAAAAACCAAACGTACTTGCAGGTTCGGTGAGTCCGGGATTGGACGCACCTCGGGTGGCTGGAAGTTTCCCGAACTCACCTCGCTTCGCTCGGTAAGTTCGGGAAACTTCCAGCCACCCTCGGTGCGTCCAATCCCGGACTCACCTCCCTGCAAGTACGTTTGTTATAAAGTCCGCGCAATTTGATCAAGTCCGAGACACAGAGTAGATACATACAGAGGTGTAACTGGTCGTCGTAAACACTGCGAAAACTTACGTTTTCATGTACCACGTTTTTTCAGGCAATTTGGCAAAAAATGATCAACTGCGCGTGCACAGCAAGTTACGCGAGCAGTTTCATCCAATGGGATGCATGCATCTAGTAACTCGCTGAGCATGCGCACAAAAGTGTGTACACTAGTTATAACTCTGTATATGTATCTACTCTGTGTCCGAGGCGAGGCAGAGGACTGGATGAAAATGCGAAGACTTGAAATCTAATCTAGTCCGAATTGGAAGATTTGAAATGACATCTCATACGAATAAATCACTACTTAAAGTGACGCGAATTAATTTTGATGCATTCCAAAGACTGAATTAATTTTGATCCAGTCCTAGTAGTAGTACGATTGCCAAACAACGAGGTTTTGAGGAATTATTTCACAACGTAAATGGCTTCCTGTAACAAACCTGGAGCAATTAATATAGTCTTAATACTATGTCAAATTTATTTGAAATTTATAATAAATCATCTCAAATACTGCAAAAAATTGAATAACAGTTACATTTTCCAATAAGAATTTTATAAATCTTGTACAAGTAGTTGGCCGACGAAAAATATTGTAGCTTCTTGGCGGCAACTTGTCCAAAACAGTTCCAATTTGCTCCGAGCAATTTGTACATCAACATTGCAACGTTGTGGCTCACTATTGCAAAGTTGCTCGCAAAAGTTTGATTGTAGTTTTATCGTGGTTTGAAAACTTAAGAAACCTTTGCAACGCATGAGGTTTTCTCAAAGTTCCCAAATTTAAGTTTGAGCGTCAAGTGCGTCATACGAGAGCCTCATTATGACCACCCATAGATAATATAGACCGAACACCCAGATATTGATTCCATGTCAATTTTGAATTAACTTATTGTATTAAAATGGGCGGCAGAGAAAAATGTATGGAAAACCGGTGGATGTTTTTTCACGCCCGCCCTTTCCTCCACCCGCGCGCATTTCTCTATATAGCTCCCAAAAAAATCGGGGTTTTTATGCTATTGTAAGTATTATGCATAGGGTGATTAAAATTTGCATTACTCACTACAACATCTTCCAAAATGTGATGATCTTCTCTTGCATACAAATATAACAATTTCCAGGCACTGTGGCGATCTTTATCACATGTTCTTGTCAATAAACTTTCCGATGGAACAAAAAACTTCGGAGAAGGTGAAACCTCTGATAAACTCTTGAAACTATTGCCAAGTTCGTACTCAGTTTCGATGTCAGAGAAACGTTTGAATAAACACAACGAAGGATGAGCAAGCAGGGCTGAATAAAGCGAACCTTTTGCGAAACTTCCCGAAGGATTGTTTTGCACTTTATATAACAGGTTCATTAAAGTTTCATCAATTTCTGACTGCGCCGTGAGTGACTGTACATCCATTGCGGCCAACATCTCATGTACGCTTTTACAACACGAGCTGTATCTCCTTAATATATTTTCAGCACCTTTGTCCAATTCACCTAAATCGGTCATTCTCTTCAAAGTATTTTCCAATGTGGTTAACCCGTGTAACTGATCTTTAAGTCGGTCCAAGTACAAGTTATAAAAGAAGAGATTATTGCTTGTAAATCTTGCATCTGAGACAATCAGGCAATGTATTATTGCATGAGCATGTCGAGGCTGGTTACGAATTAGGGTTTTTAAAGGATTTATCCAGGCCATGCTGACGTCAGGGACGGTTTCAAGAATATTTGATCGACTGTCTTCCACAATTTTCGAGTGATAATAATCCAAATCCTTGAATAAAATTAAAGACACACAGTAAGAAATTGAGAGGCATACGGCATAATTCTCGGAATATTCAGTACCAGGGTGCGATAGTTCAATATTTTTAGCCGTACCTGACTGGTACTCCAACAATTTTTGCCGAGTACTTGAGCTGGTACAAACTTAAGAGTCAAGGTGTACCTAAGGCTACTTCAGAGTCTTACGTATATAATGCACGGTCTTAATCAAACCTTTCTGAATTTTATTATTATATATTTTTAAATAAATACGTTTACTAGTTCGCAATATGTCACACATAAAACTCTCCACATTTATTCATTTAGTTAGCATATAGCGTCTATTATACGTAAACGCCAAAAACACAGATAACAAAGTTAACAACCTTGTTCGATCCGAAAATATGTTGGATGTGTGGAATTTGCATGTACAGCTAACGTTACTGACGGTTTTGAATACCTTGGAAGGTTTGCTAGTTATTGCTAGAAGGAAAATGTAAGGACGCGAATAGCAAATTCTCGTGTACCTACGTGGTACTCAGCTAAAAACGAAGAAGTACCAGGTCAATCGTAATTTTGGCGTACCTCCAGTATGTTGGTACGCGAATTATCGCACCCTGCTCAGTACGCCTAACGACTTCCAGGCTAATTGCGTAGAATTTGCGATCGATCATAGCAAAGAATGTTTACTTACAAATACAAGTATCGGTAAATGCATGTACAAATATCAGAATTTTGCGCATCTCTCTAGATATAACTAATTGTTGAAAGCATAGACGGATTTTTGTGGTGCAGGTGTCCCCAATATTAGCTATAACCCCCAAAACAAAATGTCCACCACTCCAAAAAAATGTTTAACCCCTACCCTGGGTACCAGAGCCTTTTCCCCCGCCCCCAATATTCGGCATAATAAAAATAATTAAATAGTCCACTAGCTCCAACGTGCAGAGTCTTGATGATACAAAATAAACGTAGGAGTACACTGGAACAGAAAAAGACAGTGCAACACTCTGAAACTATTAAATCATTTGAGCAATTGTAAAGTTTTGGAGCAATTTATTGGAGCAATTGTAAAGTTTTGAAACTCTATTATCTCCCCTGAATAGAGTTTGCAGTGCCTTGTCATGCAAATAGCTTGCTTGCAAGGAACGTTTGGAATTTTTACGAACATTATTTTTAGTTTTTAATTCTTTTAGGAAATAGACTTGCCTAGATTTAATCTTTACACCCCAAATATTATTTACATCGGAGTTGCATCATAAATTGTACTCGGATTCAAATGACACAATGTCAGTGACTTTATAAAAGTAAAAGCATGTTGTGTATTGGCCTATTGGGTTTACACTTTTACAGGTTCATTTAACTTTAACTCTCTCAAGTCTCGACAGACAAACGGACATGCCAAATCCATTGATATGATAACTTCAAAAAACGTTTTTTCAAAGCTAGAAATCATGATTTTTTTCAAATTTTTCCAGGGATACTTTGTTTCCTGCTCTCTAGACTTCCCCTCGTGGCTCTAGTGCTCCACCCCTAGAATATAGATCTTACTGGGGTTTGGTGACACTTCGTGTTGCTTCAGTCACCTGCTCACGGCTCGCCCCCCTAAGATTTCTGGCACCACCCCAGTAAAAAATATGAAAATCCGTCTATGGTTGAAAGGGATTTTATGAAGTTTTGAGTGGAATTTTTATACATCTATTAGACCTAACCAGGAGCGGTGGTGATAAATGGCAGGCTCTCTGGCAGGAACCGGCCGAACCTGCGATTCCGGTGCATCGCTCTAATCAACTGCATGAGCTCAGAGGCCAGTTGTCGAGCTCCATCCACAAGTGCTTGTAGGTGGATAAAGCATGTTGTCGAGCTCCAACAACAACTGCTGCTCATGGTTAGCTAGGCCTAATAAATGTATAAAAATTCCACACGAAATTTGCATCTATCAATCCCTGAAGATTAAACTGGGCATGAAACAGAAATTTAGCCAGGCAACCGTCCTACCGTCCTACTTGGATTTTCAGACTAAATCGATCGGGTAAAGACCTACCTAAAATGCTCATGTTTTGTGATTGGCTAAATTATCATTGACATTCATTGTTCGTGACTCGTTCTTAGAAAGACGAGTTCTATAATTTTATTGTCTTTGTTATAATCAACTAACCACGAGCCTGGATAGTATAGGTAGATGACCCAATCGATCACAGGTTTGAAAATGGGACACAGATGAGTCACAATACGAGAAAAAATAGAACTATAGTTACAAAATAACTTTTATTCCATTGTCACTTGTATCGGTAACTAGTTACTTTTCTTATGATATAACTCTATAGTTGCAAAAATTATGTAACTTTTACAACACTGCTTGGAGGAGTAATGGGAAGTAAGGTATCATATTGCTGATACTGCTGAAAAAATAAACATTGATGGCAATGTGATACCTTACTTCCCATCTCCCTTGTGCACATAAATTGAAAGCTGGAATATCGCCTATTTAGCTGATCAACACAATATATTCGAGTAATTGTATAGTACTGCACAAACCTGAAGGCAATCAAGAGGTACATGTTCCTTATTGCAAGACTGCAGCAACAGCCGGAACTCAATCTTCTTCTGAACAAATTCTGGAAATTCAACCTAAAACATGGAATGGATGAGCCAGTGAAGGGCAGTTTGTCATTGAAAGAAAAAAACATAAATCATGCAAATGAAATAGTGCAACCTTTCCCTTGAAATGCTTAAGAAATTCCAGCGAAGCAAGCCATGATAAATGAAATGGTGTTGCAACAGAACGGGATCCATCACTACAAAATATATAAAAGCAAAGTTATCAAGTTTGAATAGAAGGGCCAGTTTGACTCATCAGGGCTGCATCCTGCCCACAGGAAAATTTAATGTCAGCAATCTTGTTCCTACTTTGACATTGGATCCCAGGAATGACAATATCCTGCATTCTGGGAGACTAATATATAAAAATAAAGTGAAATATACATACACATAACTGTCAATTATTTAACAATTATTGGATGAGGTTTTTCTGATAAGCGGAATTATCAAGATACCACTTACCGAGACCTTGAGAATTTTGCATATCGCAAAAACCGAATTCAATAATTGTTTTATTACAGGGCTGCAAATAAATATTTGACTTGACAGGACATTTGTCCGATTACTTTTAATTTTGGTCGGACATAACTTGAATTTGGTCGGACAAAAACCAACATCTCTACATTTGATCGGACATATATACGTCACAAGATATAATATAAGTCACGGGACAAGTATGTATATCTATTCTGGCGCAACGTTAAGTAAAATGCTAGAATGCCTCGTAAATTTTATTGTAAAATGCAAATTGAGTGAATTTGCAAAATCAATTCTAGCATTTGCTAGAATGCCTCGTAAATTTTATTGCAAAATGCAAATTGAGTGAATTTGCAATCGGATTTTGTCACAGCAAAAAAATGTATGCGACAATTTTTTTGTGATCGGACCAATGTCCGATCAAAATTACTTTTGCTCGGACATTTGCCAAATTTAGTCGACATTGTCCCATGTCCGACAGTAATTTGCAGCCCTGTATTATACATTTGTTTGTGTTAAATAGCTTGCTAATCATCGCAGGCTCATTTGCAGATAACTCAGTTATCTGCTAGCAGATAACTGAATTTTCTGTAGGTTGCGTGATTGCGCGATTAACTGTAAGCTCTTAGCCAATCAAAATGCTTTTACCAACTACAATGTATAATAATGACAGTTATGTGTATGTATAATTCACTATATTTTTATTTGGGGCCTCCTATAGTGGGGTCTGGGACAAATTGCCCCAACCGCCCCCTTCTTGGTGCCCCTGTACTTTATTGTACGTTGATTTTGTTTACTTTTTACATGCACTGAAAATGTTAGTGTGATCATACATGCAGCTACTGGTAGCTACATAATTCACCGAATGCACATGTTAGCTGCTTTAGATATTGGCTAGGCTTGGCTAACATTTTAACATTCTTGATGTGAAGCTACAGTATATGTTATCTCACTGATAAATCAGTTCTCTTTACGCATAAATAACGTGACCATAAAAATGCCCAGAGAACAATTGGTAAAAATTGGAAAAAATTATGAATTTTTGGAGACTTCTAGTTCTAACAACACTGCTCAATTATGCACAAAATTTTGCATAATGCCTATGACTATGAGCAGCCACGCACATACAAAAAGTGATTCTGGTTTTTCGTTAATGCCACAGGTACCGTAACATGTGGTTATGCAACGAAAGTTCCTGTTGACAACCTGAAAACATTCCGACTCAAATTTATGCAAAATTTCAGCACTGCAAAAAACCTGCGCATATTGAATAAAAAACAGTTAAAAACTTGAGTTAAATAATGCACCCATACTCCATAGTAACTCAAATTTATGAGCAAATTTATTCATTTTTTGGAAAAAGTGAATCATTACTCAAAACATGACTAAATTTGCTCATAAATTTTGTTCATTATTTTACTCAAGTTTTTGGTCACTGAATAATCGAGGACATTTTGCAGCGAAATATTCAGGTTCTGCTGCATTTGAGCCAACTGCGGAATTGCTAAGGATCATGGTAGTTTAGTTACACAGCAGAATTTTTCAACATGGCGCTTATACTTTTCGAACGAGGGAAGCTGCTAAACACATGAGAATTGCAACAAAACTTTCATAATTTTCGCTTTGATTAAAGTTTTGACTAAATCTGCATGGCTTGTTTCATATTTCTACTGCGTCATGGGCTTCTACGAGCGAATGTGGTTGAAATATTCAACATACTGATTCAAATTAAGTGAAATTATAATCATATAATTACATTTAGGGATCGATCATTAATTTCGTCAAAGAGGGGAGGGGGGCAATCTCGTACCTAGAGCCATCGTTGACTCTGGGTACGAGATTGGGAAGGGGGGAGTGGTTTTCTAGAAAAGTGATTCAATGCTACATATATAATGTGTAAAAATTGCCCCCTCTCCCAGCTAAAATAAAATATTACTGCAACACCTAAATTATTCGCATTCCGCATCTAAAAATGGGCATTGTAGACTGTAGTCTTTTGCAGCATCCGTAGATGTTACATTTACAGAAAGAGCATGGAAATGGGAGTTACTGCTGTGCAAACTCCGGTTTTTCAGCTCCGGCTGTTTTATAGCTCAAATCTCCGGCTCCGGCTGCGTTGGTTACAGACTTACAGCTCAGATAAACTCTATAACCGGATAATGACAGATATTATTCGGCTAAATTTTGTCCCCATGGCTTTTGTACTAGATTTAAGTGAATGTAATGCAGTAATACACTGTATTCTGGACGATTTTAATATTCTATCATGAATCAAGCTTTATCGAAGAGTGTGCGAGAGGTGGCAATAGGCGTAATTGTTACAGCAGGAACAGCTTATCTATTTTAGTGATTTAGCTGCTAGGATAAAGATCGGATGACATGTATCAGGAAACAAAACAGTGAATCAAAACACTTAACGCTTGACCACAGGCTTGACCAAGTAGAAAATATCTTTTATTCATTTTCGGACAGTGTGCAATGGCACGACGCCAACACTCTCCGTCCTCCATAGAGCAATCGTTCGCACGCAAATAATATTAAAGAATTAATGATGTACGTTGTTGATTCATTTATTAATCCAAAAGTCTGTTTATTAGCCCAAACGTTTCCACTTTATTTTTTATGTAAATTATTATATGTCACATTCAAATCATTAAATCAAATCATTAAATATAAAAATTAGAAAGATTATCCAAAAGGTAAACATATAAACTAGCTAATAATATACAAATAATGAATGTTTATGAGTGCAATGGTAAGAATATTTTCATGAGGTGAAAGATGGAATGTTCCATTCAACGAGGCGACAGCCGAGTTGAATGGAAGTTTCCATGTTTCACCGAATGAAAATATTCTTACCATTGCACTCATAAACATTCATTATTTGTTTTATATAATACCAAAATAGACTATAATAGATTCGTATGAGAAGCATTTTGACGGATGTGATTTATCGAAAACATAAAGAGTGCAATGGAACGTATTCCGTTGCACTCTTGGGAAATGGAATTTTCTATTCAATATCACGTGAACATAAACATAAACAGCCAATTAAACGATCAGAATTCAATAAGGTATTATATAAAAATAGATAGCCTATTTCGTTACTTTTACAAGACATATGAAATACACTATAGACGTACATGCAGGGTAAAGTATAAAGGTGACGTACATGATTCAGCGTAACAAAGCACGATGCTTGCAATTGAATTACAACTTTTCCTGTGTAAGATACTGTAGATCACAGACATAATGACTTAATTATTGCAGTTTGGCTGTTTACGCTTGACACAACAGATATGACTTCAGATTATATATTAATATGTACTTTCAACAAATTCAATGTTGCCATTGGTTGTAACCAACACTAATTCTTTGAAATTGTCACATTTCCTGACATTCTAACTTTCCAGCCGGAGCTGGAAGAAAGCACCGCAACTCCGGTTGACCAAAAAACGTCGAAGCTCCGGCAGAACTCTGGCGCACAGCACTCCAGTTAATTGGATCAATTTCTCTCATCAATTTTACCTTTCTTATCCCTTATACCCATCCATATGTTTTTAATTCTTAAAAGAATTGTAACTTGTATATGCACTAGCCACTTTAAGTTTTAAGTTCCTTTCTTAAAAATGTGGCCCCGTTAATTCAAGCCAACCCGCCGGCAAGGACAAAATAAATTATCAGCTAGTCACATAACCCATTAATGCTGCCAGATACTACCTAATGTCCTTGTGTCGTCAAATGCACCCACACCCTATGCACCTCTTCGTAACACCCCCCACCCCCCAGTTGACATTTCATTCCTAGCCAAGACTCCCCCAGGCATGTTCATATGGACAAAAACATTGCTGGAATGAAGCTAATTGCATCTAAGTGCGTGCCCATGTTTGTTAACAGAAAAGGCATTTCCACATGCTCAGAATGTAAGTTCATCCTCAGGGATATATTAGTCTATGCGCCAATGTCAATGTTTATGTGTTTATATATGGGACTAACCTAACCCCGGATATAACCCTTAAACAGCAAGACATGTATCCAGAGCTGCCAAGTCTCAGTCAGTTAACCTGTAGGTCTCCAGGTTTTGGGGCTGAACTCTAGGTCTCACAAGTGGAGTTAGATATCTCATGTTAAGGAAAATAACTTTTTTATCACACATTTAGCATTTTTGAATGCAAGGAATATTATTTAAGCATAACAAATACCTGTGGTTCCGGTTTGATATCATGAAAAAATTGGGGTCAGTAGGTCGGAAATAAAATTTTTTTTGAATATTCTTTTCATGGTCTTGGCGGTTTTTTGCCGGGCGATTTTCAGTAGAGTCCCAACATCAATATTAACTAGAGATGCGTATTTCCTATGGACGAATTTAGGCAATTTGCTTCAATAATTAGTGTGACAACAGACACCATTTTGGCATGCTGTATGAGCAGCCCGTAACCACTTGGAGAAAATAGGGGTGCACGGTCAATTGCGTTGAAAAAATAATAGGGTCGGCAGAAAAAGAATAGGGTCGGTCGGGAACCGGAAACACAGGTATTTTTTTTTAGGCCTTAAGACTGCACACATGCTGTTTTTCTGTAATTGTTCCAAATCGGACGTAAAATCATTTGGGGAGTGGAGCTACTCAGAGCGGTAGCGAAGAGGATAAAGAAGGGGCTGTAGTTGATTATTTGCAGACAACATTTCAGTCGCTAATCCCCGAGCCAACGGCGCGGAGCAC